GGAGAAGAAAAAGAGAAGGAAGAGAAGAACGTGATATAAGAAGGGAGGAGGAAGAAAAAGAAAAAGAAAAGCAGGAGTGGGAGAGGAGAAGGAAGAGGAGAGTAAGAATCCATGGTTTCTCCTTCTCATGTGATTGCAGTATAGAAGGAAGAGGATTGAAGCCGGAGGTAAAGGACTGTAGCCAAAGATGTGCATGTAATCGTTTCTGGTAGATTCTAGACCATGAGTTTTGCACAAAGAGGCAAGGCTATTGTATAAATAGGAGCAGCAGCTCCTGGAAGAGAGTAACTGGGGAGAAGCAGTAAAACTAAAATATTTTTGAAACTTTTGAGTTGTCTGTTGGGCTCATAAACTATGGTCCATATTCTTGACATAATATTGTGAAAAGCCTACTACATCTATAATCTTAATTATAGGCATAAGAACATACTGTAGTAGCGTTTTGTTGTGTCTTCTAATTTTCACATTTTACATCCAATAAAATTATTTATCTTATAAAGACAAATCAACTTGACATCAAAAATAGTTCCAGTACCAAGGGAAGGTTTTCAGTTATTTTAAAAATAGTGCTGGGCAAGAACTGTGTACCGAAGGCTAAATTTTATTTGGCATGCTGTGTAGCTGGAGTCACAAACTTCTGTTGAACTAGGATGTAAACTTAGTAAGTAAGCCCTCTGCCCCTAGAGGAATCCTCTTTTATGTAAAGCAGTTAAGTGATAAATTGACAGATGACTTTTTGGTTAGTATCAGAATATGACAACTGCACAGAATAGATTCGCCTTGATTTTCTTTTCTCAAATTTACAGTTTAATGGAAAAGCACAGAGGTTCATAAGTAAACTTTGAATGAACAACAAAGGCAAAGTAACATTTAGTACATTTTTGGAGTTCTGTATTTTACTGGTTATCTAATGACCATCACGTGAACATCTTGGCCAGCCAGGGCACCTGTGGAATCCTTTTATGAGAACGGCAGGCTGAGGAATCTGAGGCTTTTGACCGGCACCCTGGATTTTCTACCCCTCTACCCGTGTGAACTGGTTGAGTCACACAGTACATGACTTTAGCCTGCGTTGGGAAAACAAGAGGATCTGACTTGAGAGTTCCTTTTTTCTTTCTGTATTATCTTTATAATTTATTCTGTTATCTCCTTCAAAAAGATTCCGGGGCATTTTTCATCTGAAGAAGTGTAACAAACAAGACATCTACAGTTTAGAACCAGCACAGTGTCTGAAGTATCTAATAAAGTGATGGAATTCCACCCAAGTACAAGTCACACTCAATTAGGGGCTTCAAACTCAAATGTCTACAGAGACTGAGCAGGCCATCCTTTTCTATTCCTACATAATGTCTTTTGCAAGACTCAGTGCTTAAAGCAACAGACATTTTTTTTAAACACAATTTTGTGGGGCAGGAATGTGGGCAGATCCCATCCCAGTGTTTTTTCTGTCCAGTGATGTCCATGTGGGTTGGTGGTGTTCAGACATCCGACCAGCTGATCAGTACACCTTCCTCCCATGTTGGGCTCCTATGCAAGGTTGGCTGGAACTGGGCAAATGTCTACATTGGGCCTCTCTAGAAAGTAGTGTCAGGCTGGTTGAACATCTTACATGATAATTCAAGACCTGGACAAAGAATGTCTAGGAGAACTGCATGGAAGCTTCCAGGTATTTTATGATCTGGCCTTACAATGCCAGAACATCTCTTCTAGTGCATTTTCTAGCTAATGTAAATAGGCCCAGATTAAAGGGAGAACAAATTAAACTGCATCTTTCAATGAGAGGAGAAGCAAAGAGTTTGGGATCCTATTTGAAAACTTTATAATATATGTAATCTTTACTCTTAAGGCAAAAGGGTACAGTATCTGTTTGTGGAAGTTATACCAAAAACTGTTAATTATTACCCCTGAAGCATAAAACAGAGTCTAGGATGGGAGGGAGGCTTTTGCTTTTCATTTTATTTCACTTTAATTCAAAGTTTTTACAGTGTGTGTATATGACCTGAGAATTTTTTGAAAAGTAGTTTAATATGTAAATAAATTGGAGAATAATAAAGCTATAATTTTCTTTGTCTATAGGATTTTTTTAGCATTGGTTACTATTTCTTTTCTGATGTATCTGTGCAGATCAGAACTGTGTGCAATCGTATTTTATATTCACAGCTACACATGAGCTAACTGTGAACCATTTTTGTGCACCAGTTCAGATTTGAAGATAAAAGAATATATTTAATTATGCATAACATAAAGAAAACTTTTTTTAGCAATAACACAAATCAAAGTCAACACTTCATTTCAACTCTTGGTTAATTCATCTTGGAGCTCTCTTTTTGAAAAATATGAGTTATGAGCTTTAATTTAAAAAAAATCCCAGCCAATCATTATGCTGTTAAGACGGCTATTAATGACTAATCGTCATTGTCCTTACTGAAATGTATTGTTTTTAGTGAGACCATTTAACAGAAACATTTAGTTAAAGTACAAGTAGAATTTTGGTTTAATTCCAATCACTTCCGGAGTGAGCCAGACTTTGTCCTAAAGACACTGGATTTTTTTCATGAAAGAGTATTGTACAATACAATTTTTCCTGAATTTAAGAGTAATTTCCTAAACTCTAAGGCATTATTCTTTATTTTTGTCTTAGATCTATGGATATCAAACTGGATACAATTTTATGACATTCAAGCCCTTTCAATTTACAGATGAAAGAGATCATCTTGTTAAATTCTTTTAAGCTTATGGCTCTTAAACTTGAGTGCACATCACAGTCTCTTTGATTGCTTATTAAAACACAGATTGCTGACCCCATCTACGTTTCTGATTCTGTGGGTTGAGGTGGGGTCTGAGAATCTGCCTTTCTGACAAGTTTCTGGGTGATCCTGATGCTTTGGGCTTGGGGATCACCATTTGAGTACTACTATTTTGATGTAATTCCTTCTCTGGAGAGCTTTTATTTTCCCCCTCTTTTAGGTAAAAATCTTTCAAGAGTGATGTTTTTATTTTTTTAAACTTGATCAACGCCTAACTAGATTCTATGTTTCTCTATTTCAACTTTCTAAGCAAAGCATACATACTCTTGACATTTTTCCTAAACTGGTCCCATTTTTCTTTTTTGGGATCCCCTAAGACAAAGTTCTGCCACAAATAATCACACCGATGAATATCAAACACCCTTGCACTGATCATTCCCTGTTCTCCATTGTTGCTTATGTGCTTGGTTTTGACCCACGGAGCTCACCCGCTTGTAGGTGTTTGAGACTAGGCACAGATACACATCATATATGTGTCTACTCCTTCTGATGAAGGATACCTCTTGAGATTCCTGTGGTTTGCTGTGCTGAGCACAACTTGACTTAAAAGTTTTAGATGACTACTGGTTTAAACAGAATAACCTTCCTTGGTGACCTGTTGGTTTGTGATCATCCTGTATACCATAGGAGCAATTGGCTTGGCATCAACACATTATAACTTGATGTATTTTGAAAATGAACCCTGGGTTATAAAGAAAGCGGGTGAGGGTTGAATTGCTCAGGTATTGCCCCAAAGGAGACAGGTCCATGTGATTAGAGTCAGACCATTTCTTTCAAACTTATGGAGCACTTGGTCTGTGACAAAGTACAGGCTGGGCCTGAGAAGGTGAGTGGGGTATGTCCACACAGACCTAGCATCAGCCCCACATGAGGGTGGTGAAGTGGGTTTGGGCGGGGACACTGGGCTTGGGTATACCTGCATTGCCTGCTGGCCGGGCTAATGTGCATCTTCATTCACGCTGATGTACTACCACTTGAGAAATGAATATAAACACTTCTGATGACTGTCCCAAAACTATAGTGCTATCCTGCCTTGTCTTGACTTGGGTTTCCATCATAAGCTTCCACAACTGAGTAGTTTAGACAACAAACATTCCTCTCAGTTGTGGGATCTATAATGCCCAAGGTCAAGGTCTGGAAAAGTTTGGTTTCTAGTGCAGGCTCTCATCCTGTCCTGCAGATGGCCACCTCCTTGCTGTGGATCTACATGGCCTTTCCTTAGTGTGTGTACAACATGGCGAGGAGATAGGAAATGAGGGCAGTGATTTTATGAGGAGGGCCGGGCTTCATGACCTCATCTCCCCGTAGTCACCTCACAGAGGCTCCATCCCCAAACACCCTTTTACCGGGGCTTCAGGCTTCAGCATAAGAATTTGAGGAATATAAACTTGTCAGCCTGCAAAATGCCTGTTGTTTGCTTAACCAATTCCCAGAGTTAGAAAGTCGCTGCTCATAGTGCCTCTCCTCACAGATGTTCCTTTATCCTTTGGACTTTTGTCATCTGCTGTCATTAGAGGTAGCACTGTTTTGGAGAAGAGAAAAGCAATGAATACTTTTATCGGGTTCGTTAAGTGTGCATCATAAGCTTATTGCCCTTATCAGAAGCTTGTAGGGTAAATTTGATTAGCACAGATTTAGGGCCTCTCTTTTCTGGATTCTAATTTCCCAAATAGTTTCTTGAGTTCAGTATTGATTTCTGTTTTATGATAATACGATTGTAGTTCAGATAGAAAATCCTTGAAGATAGTTTTTCTAAGTGGATCTCGAAATGAATTTGAAAATGTGAGAATTTCTTTAGGCATGTTCTGAGATTGTGGTCAGTGGAGTGGTCCTGTATATGTGTTCTAAAATCAATAGCAGGAAAGTATTAAACATATCACACACTGTACATCTGAACTTTATTGAACTATGTAAGTTTATTGAACTATGTAATATTTCTGTTAAATTGGAAATCTTTGTTATATTCTCTTAAAGTTAAATTAAAAGAGTTGCTACACTCTCATCAATTGGTTGGACAGACAAGGTTGTTTTTACAAGTAAAGAAAATTAAAAATGGAGACAGAAGAACAAGACAAAGAACAGAGTCATATGCTAAGTATTCTAAAATTGAAATGGTGCAGAAGACCTATGTCTCTCCCAAAATGTTTGACTTCCATGTATCACTGAGAAATCTGTATCCTTCCATTTCAACAGAAAACCAAGCCCTTGATGACAGAATTCTCCATCAAGTCCACCATTATTTCTCGTTATGCCTTCACCACCGTTTCCTGCAGAATGATGAACAGAGCTTCTGAGGACCAGGATGCTGAGTTCCAGATGCAGATTCCAGCTGCAGCTTTTATTACTAACTTCACCATGTAGGTGACACACTGGTTGGAGGGAGATGTCTATGTGGGTGGTCAGAGTGGCCCTAAGATGGTGTAAGGGCCATAGCCTTTGACTGTGAGAATTTGTATCTCATTAAGAATATGAACCCTTATATATAGATCAGAAGGTTGCCTTCTTTCCTTCCCTCCTTCCTTCCACCCTCCTTTCTTCTCTTCCTTCCTTCTTTCCTTCTTCCTTTTCTTCCTTCCCTTTTCCTTTCTCCCCTTTCTAGTCTCTTTTGTTCCTTTCTTCCTTTTTTCCTTTCCTCCATCCTGGTCCAGTCTGGGCCAGGTACTCTTTAAGAGGACTGGTATACTTCTATTTTTAAAAGTTGCTTTGCTCCAGAGATTTCAGTGGGGAAGGGCAGTCAATGAATTAATGAATTAACAAAGGAGATCATTTAGATAGTGGTAAATGTTATAGTATAAAGAAGGCAAATAGAATCCAGAGGAACTTTTGCAGTTGGAGAATCAGAGAGGTGCCTTGGACCATGATTAAGTGTAGACCCAAATAAATAGCATGAAATTTTGTGTACTAGATTGCATATATTTCCTCTTTTTCTGGCCCAAGAGATAAAGATATACCAAACAGGGTAGGTGTTTGAGTTTAATGTTTGGTATGGGTAAGATTGAAGTTGAAGAATCTTCATCATGGAAGTTTGAGCAGATCTTGTGACTTTTCTGCTGGAGAATATAAAAGCTCCTGGACTATGTCTCACCATTGGAACCTGTTAAAAATTGCCCTAGAGTGAAATGAATGACTCAAGGTTGGTGCCCTAGTCTGGAGCAGATCCTATCTGCATATCCAAGAGGCAAATAAAACCATGAGTTGCCATGGTTTTGAGTTCCCTGTTTGGATTTGTCTTGGAACTGTGTGCTGTTAACACAGCTGTCTCTTGGGTTTCAGGCTTATTGGAGACAAGTTGTATCAGGGTGAAATTACAGAAAGAGGAAGAAAGAATGGAGATAGGGTAAAGGAAAAAAGGAATAAAACTGCAGAAGATAATGGGTAAGTATTGTTTAATTACAGATTAAAGTCCAATGAAGCAGTGTCATACTTTCTATCCCTATGCCTACCTAGCTTTTCTTTCCCTTCAAATATTTTTCTTTTTGATTAAAGTAATAAATATATCTGTTTAATAATATATCAGACAAACATTTATAACAAAAGAGAAAACTTTTCTATGCTTTTTGCTTAGTTCTTCCCAGCAACACTTGCTTCTAATATTTTTGTGGTTTTCTTTACCTAACTTTAACTTCTACGATAATGTTGCTTTTTCTTGATTTCTTAATAAGAATAAGATATTATCTGTTGACTTTTCTGTGAAGGAATAGAATTTAGAAAATGTATAAAACTTCTCTTCATTTTAATTTTTATATTATTTTATTTCTTTTTTTTTTATTGGTACCCGGGATTGAACGCACCACCACCTGCTTGCAAGGCAGGTACTTATGCCGCTGAGCTAAATCCCCAGCCCCAAGTATTTTATTTCTTCTATCAATAAAGCATTTAGATTATTTTATATTGTCCCTACTCTGAAGTGATAATAGTCTACCTTTCACTTTGACTGTCTTATTTCCTGTGAGAATGTTTTGTAATGTAATCATTTACATTTGCATTGTCAGAGTTATTAACATTTAAATTCTAGTCTGTAATGATCCTTGTAATCATTGTCTCTAACCTGAATCTGAACACTTAAAAATCAGTAAATAGTGTTTGCTTTTTAATGACTATATAAATCACATGAACTGCAGAGCCATCTGGTACACTAACATGTACCAGCCCTACACAAAACTCTCCATTCTCTTTGCAGCAAAGTAACCTAAAGAGAGTGATATAAACTCATAAACCTGACTTTGTTCTTTAATAAAATAGCAGAGCTTCAAGCTAGTTCTCTAAAATCATAGACCATCAAAAATCTGCAGCTGAATCTTGTTAGTGAGAATGCAACGTCTCACTCTCGCCTGGAAGACCTGAGCTCTGGGTTTGCTTTGACACAGAAAAGCAAAGGCAGTCCATAGCGTCAGATGAGAGATTTTCAGACACAACATTCCACATTTATCTTACTGCTCCAGTTGCCAAGGACACAGAACTCTAAGTCTTCCTCAAGGTACAGGCCAGTATTCATGGCTTTACACATAGCTTGGAGTCTGTCCAAACATTGGTTTCTTGACCTTTTGCTTTAATTATACCCTGCCCTTCCCCCAGCCCACAATAACCTTGTCTCTTTCTTTGTCTGGTGAGATGCCGTGCAGTACCTGTGGTATGTGGTCTCCCTTGCTGCAGCAAATTTAGAAAATCTCACTTTGCTGAATTATAGCTGTGTGCCAAATCATTTGCATTAAATTGTTCAGAATCATGCCAGTGTTTGGTTTTTTCCATGAATTTGTCACTTCTTTTCATTCATTCTGTCCAATGCGCACTGAAACTTTTCCATCTATTTTTCGGTTCCTGGAAGGAGGAGTACAGGAAGGCTGTGAGCTAGTCATTCTATTCTATACGGGCTTGGAATGACCTCCCTTTATTTAGTGCCCCGTCTCAGTTCTACCCACGGCATCCTCTGCAGAAACAGTCTGCAGTTTCTCCAAGATTCTTCCAACAGCTTCTTCCAGCATGTTCTGAGCTAAAACATTTTTCTCTATGCAATCCCCCAAGTCTTCAAAAACTTTCTGAACTGTTCTTTGCTAAGGGTTGCCCCTCCCACTCCTGATTTTTGGGTGGTCAGCCTGCCATCTTGCCTCAGAGAACCCTCACTCTGAATACTGACAGCATTTGGAATACTTGATAATTCTGTAAGTGTTGTTTCCTCTTTAAACGTATTTGTTAAATTTTAACAAGGTGCAAAAGCATGATAATGGATTAGCTAGTCAATAAAGTGCCAGAATTCATTGGCCATCAGTAAAGGTCTGAATGCAATGCACAGCTTGACTCCTAAGCTCCCTCTTCTAACAGTTCATCTGTGCAAGGGTTCCTTTCCCAGGGGTCTGTTTTGGAGCCAGGTAGGAGGGGTCAGCAATCTGAATTCTGTCCTGTTCAGTATCCTTCGGCCCTTGGTAACCCTCCTCTAGCCCTGATCTTTGCTTCTTCCAAAACTCAACTTATTTTCCTTTCTAAAGATGCACCCTGCTGTGCCCACTGGTCTCCCTGGCCTGCCAGTGTATTATGGCAGGTATCTGAGGGCACCCATGGAGCTTGACTTTTCTTATTCTGAGCCCTGTCTGTGGCCCCTTATGCTCCTCTGACAGGGCCGAGGGGACTGACACGTTCAGAGCCACTCTAGTGATTCCCAGCAAGGGCAAGGCCGCCTTCCTCCTGAGTTACGAGGAGCTTTTGCAGAGACGCCTTGGCAAGTACGAACACGTCGTCAGCGTGCGACCGCAGCAGCTGGTGGGGAGGCTGACAGTGGACGTGACTGTCCTGGAGAGGTCTGGCATCGTGGGCCTGGAGGTGCTGCCTCTTCGCAACAGCAGGCAGAAGGGCAGCGCGCGGGCGGAAGGTGAGTCCTGCGCGCACGGAACCCAGAGCTGACACACCTGAGCTGCCAGTGGCTGCAAAGAAATCTCTGGAAGAAATAGCATCTTCCAAAAAAGACTGACTTTTTGTGGAAATTAGAAAGACAGCAACAAAGCAAACACAGTGTCCTGTGAAATTTTAGTTTCAAAGAGGTGGTTCTAAAAAAACCTTTAAATTTTTTGAGACAGAAATTCCACTCTGGGGAACGTGTTGCAGCAAAGCATTTAAATATTGTGGATGTGATATTCAGGAACTTGCCTGATTATACTTGTAGTACATAGTAAAAACATTCCTTCAGCTTAAATATTCAACAATATGGAAGGCAGTAGAATACACTGATAAAAACAATTTGGCACGTGACCAGAAAAAAGCAAAATTGTACATACACTATAATATCAAATATTTTAACTATGCTAAATAAAAAATTGGTAAAAGATAAGAAATGTATGAAATAATTATATTATGGGCATGGATGGGATTATACGGTTGTTTTCTAAAAATCTGGTTTTTAACATTCAGCAGTGTTAGTCTTTTTTGTTTGAGGCTGGGGGTTGAACTCAGGGTCTTGTGCATGCCAGGCAACTACTCCCTCTGCCATTGAATGTGCCCGCCCCTTTTTCTTAAATGAAAAAATGAAAAATATATACTTTAGATTTTATTTAAGATACAAACATTTTGGTTCATTAGCAAAATCACTGAGGTTAGGTTTTTCTCCAATTCCAATTTTTAAAATAGAATTTCATTTACCAAAATGATCATGAAAAATTCAAAGTCGTCTAATCTTAATCACCATTATTTTTAACTAATAGTTTACATGAAATATTTTCTTATGTTGTATACTATAATTAATATACCAATGAGGATTAATGGCAAATGAACTTGAGGGAGATATATTAAAACTTGTACAAGGATTAGAATGACATTTCAATGAATTGTGACACTGCAGGAAGAGAAATGCTAAATGATAACCAAGTAAGTGAAATATGCAGAATCTGAACAGAGTCCTGGTGGGGCTTCGTGGACAAGGATGCCTTCGAGAAGACTGGAGGAAAGGAGAGAAATGATTAGACAAGTGGAATAAGAGGGCATGGGTATTTAATAGAAAAAATATATATAAGACTTGGAGCGGGTATATGGAAGTGCAAACAGTGTGGAAGAAATGCTTCCTCACCCCAGCATACGATGTAGTGGAATAACTTTACGTGTGACAGGTTGTTCACCCTCAAAGACTTGAGTTCCCCTGCCTCTGGGTGGACTCAGGTCCTTTGCTACAAGATGACCACAAAATCTGAATTTGTCACAAAACTATTGCTAAGGGCTCCCTACTTGGAAATAACATGAGATACAACACACTATCTTTTTTCTTTTTCTTTTCTTTTTTTTAATGGAAAAATACACACCACTCTTGAATGATGTTGGTGGTAGTTATGTAGTTAATGGATTTAAGTTCACTTACTGACCATTACCTTGAAAGAAATTAGTGCAACCATCTATAGTCACACATCTATAAACAAGGATGACTGCTGTCTTGTAAGGTCATGGTGAAGTGTTAGTGGGAGTAAAGAAACTGGCCCTGATTACAAGCTTAAAGATTATTAAATATTGTTATCATTTTTATGATTACCTGTTTGCTCTTCTCCTATGAAAATGTTATAAGATCATAATGCCTTTGAAGACAGGCGAGAGTCTTACTAACTTTGTCTCGTGTTTAATTCAGTGCCTTTTATATAGCCCATCACTGAGTATATTCAAATTCGAAAAGGAAAGCAAACACATACACACATATTGGAGAATGTTTTAAAATTTCATTTTTCTTCATTTGTAATCTAGAGGGAAATTTCCCCCCAAAAATCATAGGAAGGTGATATTTTTCAAGGGCTAAGAAGGCTCAGACCGAGTTGGCAGGATCTTGTGGGAGGACAGAGTATCTGAGAGGCATGTCTGGGAGGAACAATGAGGGTTGGTAAACCTATCTGTAGGAGGTTTTGAGGGCAACCACACTGTAGAATGAAATGCATACGCTTTGCCTAATTTTCAGAACCGCTGCGGTTCTACAGACTTGAGTGCATGTTGTGGTGTGTGTTCATGTGTTTTACGATTAGATTATAATTGTTGGCTGAAAAAAGTTGCTCACTGTTTTATATTCAGTGTCTTTTCAAGGTCATTGATCTCCTGGGATCTGTTTATTTTTAAGAAAATTGTTTTCCTAATTCTTTGTACCAAAACAGATCCTTTGCCTTCCAGAATGTGGAGATTTCACGAGCGTTTCCCAGAGCTTAGCGCAGAGGACTAATTCCCTTTTTGCTACATCTCATGTGCATCTTTTTTTTTTTTAAAAAGCTCAGCTGGTATTATTCCTGCAAAATGAAAGCCTCAGCAGTAGGTAGCACAGGATGTTGTGATTTTGTCTGGACACCACAGCATGTTTCCAAAAGAAATTCAGGGAAGAGAGCAAAGTAGGATTGGGCTTGCAACAGAGCATGCTCGATAGCTGTGTGTAGGTGGCCCTGGCCTCCTGTGTCTGCTGGCGTTAAGAAATCAGATTTCTGCCATTTGTCTAAGCAAATCTGTGATCACTGGAGCCACTTTCACCTTGATTCTGGGTGAGGACTACTTCAGAGAGCCCTTCCTGTTCCTCAGCTCAGTCCAGGAAGTTTATGTTTGTACTCCCATGGAAAAGGTATTGGAATTCTAGCAAGTTATTTCCAATCTACACTTCCAGTGAAACCCATGGGAGGAATAAAACACATACGTATAGCTACGGGGAGCCAAGGGGTCCTAAGTCTGGCCAGGATGAAGGTTCACTGGAACAAAGGCCTCTACCCAGGGCCTAGCCTGGGTTTTATTAATTCGTGAGGAAGGGAGTGGCTTGAGGATGAGGGACTGTGAGGATGGTGGGAGATACATATGTACTGTGATCTGGACTAGCTAGGAGGCCTGAGAGCACTTCTGCAATGTGCAGAGAGAAGGATGTGCAGAAGGACCAATCTGCGTAACACAATTGAGATAGCATTTAATGTTTTGGGGGCCAGTGCTTTAGTTCTGATCTGCAAACGTTTCTGCCCTGGGAAGTCACAGCCTCTTACCTCGAGGTTCAGTCCCAGTTGACAGCCCTGGAACCATGGCACTTAATCCTGCCTGGTTCCACCATGTGTTTGGGAGTCACACAGTGACTGTCAGACTGTCGCCTAGCTTCAAAAATAAGGCATCAGTAGCTCAGATAGCCCTATTTACATTGCATAGAGCCAACTGAAGGGGAAAGGGAATGGCCTGGCTAGCTCTGTACATATCAGTACATGGAGACAGGGCCAGGTTTAGCCAAAGTGGAGATAATTGCTTTTTGTTCAAGGAGAATAGGTCAGGTTGTCCTCTACAGACTACTGTGTGTTACATACTAGACTAAGCCCTTTGCTTATAGTGCTATCTCATTTAATCTTTATGATCACTATCTTAGGTTATATTTTTAATCCTCATTTTATTTATGAAGAAACTTAAGGGCCAGAAATATGGACAGCATCTTATATCTATTTATCACTAGAAACAAAAAGTAAAAATAGATCTTTCTGACTCAAGTTCGTGCCCTTAATCATTGTTCTGTCGTCCCTTCTCATTGAGTAGAGGATTGTAAATTGTATATGTTCAAATTCTAAGTCACTTCATAGTTAAATATAAAAATAAAAACACAGGTTAAAAATCAACATAATCTATTTTTGCCTCAGCTTTCTTGCCTGTTGGGTCAGAAATAGACCGCTATCTATTGGCATCTTAGTGTGAAAGTTAATTATGTGAGATATAAATTAGAAGCTAAAGCATTATAATTTCTATATTATTAAAATAGTAAACACATGTAGATGGATCAAAATCTAATGGCTTACAAATGAGTACAGTAAAAACCAGACTCCCTCTCTATTCTGTCCTTCTGCTGTTTACTCTTTTAGTCCTCCTTAAAATATTCTGATGCATGTGGGTTCAGTGGAACAGAATATGGCCACACATCACTTAATGACTGGAAACATCCTGAGGTCTCTGACTTTAAGCTATTTGCCATTATTTGAACATCAAAGAGCATCTTTGCGCAGCTTAGGGCAGCTGAACTCCGTGGCCCCTTGGTTCAACCGAGAGGCACCATGTGGAAGAGATGCATGAGGCTACTTCCAGAGCAGTGCAGCATGCTGTTTCACAGAGAAAGTCTTTTTACAAGTAGAAGGAATAGACTCTAAAATCATGTCAGAGTATAGCATAGGAGATAGTAACTTAATAAGCCAGAGGCATAGTCATTTATTTTCATTATCAAGGAGTATGTACCATATATAATTGTATGAGGGAGTGATAAAAATATACATCAAATGTTTATTAAAATTTATTACAGTAAAATACATACACTTTCCATTAAAATACTTCACTTTGAACATAGTTATTCCATTCTGCTACTTTTTGAAGCAGTTCTGGAGCTCCTGTTCCATGAGTGTCTTTATGAATTGTGATCAGAATACAGGGAATGCTGCTGCTGAGTGCCATTCAACGGAAAAGCAGACTCCTAGAATGTTACCGTGCCCTCATTCACCTTGTTCACCAGATCTGCCGCCACATAACTTCTCGCTCTTCCCAAGTCAAAATGACCATGAAAGGTAAACGTTTTAAAAGGACTCAGAACTGTTGGGCGACCACGAGCGCACAATTAGACAGTCACAAAAGAGAATTTCCAGAATTTTGCTTCAAAAAGTGGCCAGAATGATGGAATAAGCACATTCAAAGCAAAGGGGAGTATTTTAAAGGGGGTTAACAGCAGTGTGTCTTTGACTACTATAAATGTTTACATTTAAACATTTGCCATAGTTTTCCGTCACACCTGTTTGTGCTGTATTTCCATATAGGCAGTGGTACCGTAGGTGTGTTTATGGCAAGATCACTACGAACATGTAGATAATGGGTTGTACTTGACATTATGACAATTTTGACCTTACTAGGTGATAGGAAACTTCC